TGGAAACATATAGAGTATGTAGCTTTTCAGCCTGGCTTTTTTCACCTAGTAATATGTATTTAAGGTTCTTCCATGTCTTTTCATAGCTTGATAATTTTTTTTTTTTTAATCACTGAATAATATTCCATTATAGGGATGTACTAAAAAAAAAAAGAACCCACTGCCAGCGCGTGGATTCCAACTCATAGCGGTCCCATAGGACAAAGTAGAACTGCTCCATATGGTTTCCAAGGCTGCCATCTTTACGGAAGCTGACTGCCACATCTTCCTCCTGTGGAGCAGCTAGTGGGTTCGAACTGCCTACCTTTCAGTTAGCAGCCGAACACTTTAACCGTTGCACACCAGGGCTCCTTATGGATGTACTAGTTTGTTTATCCATTCACCTATTAAAGGACATTGTGGCTGCTTCCAATATGTTTAACTTTTTAAGAAACTGCCAAACTGTGATAAGGAGCCCTGGTAGTGCACTGGTTAAGAGTTCAGCTGCTAATCAAAAGATTGGCAGTTTGAATCCACCAGGTGCTCCTTGGAAACCTGTGGAGTAGTTCTCCTTTGTCCTATAGGGTCGCTATGAGTTGGAATCGACTCGATGCAATGGGTTTGGCCAAAGTTTTCCAAAGTGATTGTACCCTGCTGTCAGTTATTACATAACAACAACAATAACAATAATAAACTGGTTGGAAGTTCCATCCTTATTTTCATTCATTCGTTCATTTGTTCAGAAAATATTTAGTGAGCACTACACTGGCCTGGAGCCCCGGTAGCACAGTGGTTAAGAGCTCAACTGCTAACCAAAAGGTCGGCAGTTTGAATCCACTAGCTGCTCTTTGGAAACTCTATGGGGCAGTTTTCCTCTGTCCTATAGGGTCACTATGAGTCGGGATTGACTGGACGGCATACAGCAACAACAACTCTGTGCCAGGCCCATTCTAGGCACTGGGGATGAACAGTGAACAAGACAGACAAAAATCCCTGCCTTCATGGAGCAGCCATGTGACTTAGATCCTCTCTCAGCACAGGTGGAATGGTTTAGTGGTTGGGGGCACACGCTCAGGAGCCAGACAGTCTGGGTTCAAATCCCGGCTTTGCCACTTCCTAGTGTGGCCTTAGGCAAGTTCCCTTATCCCTCAGTGTCTCTGCAAAAAGGAAATGCTGATGAGGTAAAAGCTACCTTAGACGGTGTGGGAAAAAAAAAAAAAGTCGTCGAGTCCATTCTGACTCCCGGTGACCCCATATGTGTCAGAGCAGAATTGTGCTCCGCAGCATTTTCAGTGGCTGTGGTCTTTCAGAAATAGATCACAGGTCTTTCTTCCAAGGTGCCTCTAGGTGGACTCGAACTTCCAACCTTTTCCGTTAGGAGACAAGCACTTAACTGCTTGTGTCACCCAGGGACTCAAGGGGCGGCAAGCATCCTATTACGTGTTAGGTATGATCTATGCTGCAGAAGTCAGAGAATAAGTAGGTAAAACACACAGTGTTCCTCAAACTTGAGCATGCATCAGAATTACAGAAGGGTCCGCTGTGACACAGATCATTGGGGGAACGGGAGACAGTTCAATAGCAGTTACCGTTGTTAGGTGACATCAAGTTGCTTTTTAACTCATAGTAACCCCATGTGACAGAGTAGAACTGCCCCCTAGGGTTTTCTTGGTTGTAAGCTTTACGGGAGCAGATCGCCAGGTCTTTCTCCTGCAGAGCTGCTGGGTGGTTCCAACTGCCAACCTTTCAGTTAGCAGCTGAGCACTTAACTGTTGTACCACTAGGGCTCCTTCAGGTTTAGGGTGGGGCCTAGGAATTTACATTTTGGACAAGTTGCTGCTGAGAACCGTTGGTATATAGTATCAGATTAAAAATTAAACAGAAAGGGAGTCTGAACTTTTTTTAAAATTTTTATTATGTTTGAGGTGAAAGTTTACAGCGCGAATTAGTTTCTCATTCAACAATTCATACACAAATTGTTCAGCGACATTGGTCGCAATCCCCGCAATGTGTCAGCACTCTCCCCCTTTCGTTTTACACCCCAGGTTCCCCGCGTCCATTCTTCATCCCGGTTTCCTGTCCCTTCCTGCCTTCTCATCTTTGCTTTTGGGCAGGTGTTGCCCATTTGGTCTCGTAGACCTGATTGAACTAAGAAGCAGGTCCATCACGTGTGTTATTGTTTGTTTTATAGGCCTGTCTAATCTTTGTCTGAAACCCTAGTGGCGTAGTGGTTAAGTGCTACGGCTGCTAACTAAAAGGTAGGCAGCTCAAATCCACCAGGTCCTCCTTGGAAACTCTATGAGGCAGTTCTACTCTGTCCTATAGGGTCGCTATGAGTCAGAATCAACTCAATGGCAACGGATTTGGTTTTTTGGTTTAATCTTTGTCTGAAAGGTGGACTTCGGGAGTGGCTTCACTCTGAGTTTGCAGGGTGTCCGGAGTGTACTTTTGAATTGACTGGGCTGGGAAGAAGTCATAGGGTACTACCTGAGCAAAGCTCTGAAAGCGGCGAGGGACTCAGACACGCAAGCATTCCAGGTCCAGGGAGTAGCCACAGACAGGCCCCGAGGCGGATGGGTGCCTTGCAGGTCTGAGGAACAGCGAGGAGGCGTGTGTGGCTAGAGCAGAGTGAGCAAGGAGGCCAGTGGGAGGAGATGAAGACCGATGAGGAGAGATGAGAGAGAGAGGTGACGGGGCAGAGCATGTGGGGCCGCGTGGGCCACGGGGAGGACTCTGGCTTTTACCCAGATTGAGATGGAGTCGCGTGGCCCCAGCCTGGGAGAACAGATGGGACTGCAGGGTGAGAAGGGGCCTCAAGGCCAGCAGGGTGGATTATCCCCAGGTGACTGCTATGAAAAGTCCCTGCGACAAAGCAGGGTGGTTAGGGACTTTCTGGTGGTGACGAAACAGTGTGGTTAGGGGATTTATAGTGGTGAAAGGTACCAGCTCAAATTTCCTGCCACCACGGTGGGACACTCCATTTAGAAACTGAGTAACAAAAAATACAATTGTAGTGCCTGTTTTTTTTTAAATTATGGTATATATATATATATATAGGTAACTGGAGTGAAATGAGTTCCTTTATATGGCCCTTTGCCTTGGTTTTTTGGAAAAACAGCTTGAGAGATTTTCCCCCAAAGCCCTGAGGAGTTACCTCTGCCTAGTTTTCAACCCTAGGGGATTCTTTACTTTTGTCCAGGTGGATTGATGTTTCCTGGGTGGGCTGTAAACAAGTTGGTTTGATACTTTTTGTCTGGTCCTGGGCTGCAGGCTACTCTGTGATTGGTATGCACCTTGCAGGGATTGGTCAATAGACTATGCAAATGACATGACTAGAGCCTACTATGCAAATGAAGTGTCTATGGCCTACCAAGAGGGGATTGGTCAGTTTGTGGCCCTGGTGGGAGGGCCATGCCTTGAAACTGATGAGGAATTTGCTTATATGTGCAGCCCAGCGAGGTAGGCAGACAGAAAGAGAAGAAAGGAGAAAGGAGAAAAGGCAAGAGAAGCAAGAAGAAAGAAGCAGAGAGGGGGCCTGCATGGCCGAGAGGGGCGTGCACGGCAGAGAGAAGGGCCTGTTTGATGAGGAGCTGAGAGAGCTGTCCTGCACCAGGACTAGTGGCCAGGAGCCCAGGGGTGGTTGGGGCTGAGCAGGTGGGGCCGTGGAGGGGAGAGTGGGTTGGGTGGGAAGGAGGACGCTCGGAGCCCTAATGCACAGGCTGTGGGGCTGATGGGCTGGAGGAGGGGGAAGGGAGGTGTCCAAGACAAGGCTCAGAGCTCCGGCCTAGAGACCTGGGGGCCATGAGAGCCCCC